GGCTAGTGCAGTTGCTGGTTAGAGCACATCAAGACACCCAGCGACGCACTTCCATGGGTGGGACACAACAGCAGTTTGTGGTAAGTGGCCACCACTGATGTTACATCTCTGAAGGTTGTCTCTCAAACTTTTCATTTGTCAGTGCCCCTCAACTCTGTATTGCTTGGTCTAAAGAACTGTTGTCTTATTTGCTCTAATTCATGTTGTTCTCTGTGTGCTGATAATTCTCGCTCGGCAGACCTGAAATTTTTCTGAAATAAACAAGAATGCCAAAAGCATGGTTCTTATTTTACTAAGAACCCCTTGAGCATTTAATTCCGAATGCTATAGATCAGAGTACTGCCTACTCTGGCAAGGCAAGTAGTTCTCTACCAGGAAGCCAGAACTGCTTCATCCTTCTCAGAAGAATGGGTTTAAGAATGCTATCACAGCTTATTGCATATTGTCAAGGGTGCTTAGGGTTGTAGAAGTACTGAGAAGTTGTGCAGGATCCATACTTGTTACCTGTTTGGGGCCAGGTCCGTGTGGCAAGATCAGTCTCAATTTGATTGTTTTTATCCCATTAAACACATTAGCAAAGGAGAAGTTGTCTTAGTGTGGGCAAATGAAAGCAGCATCTACTAGTACAGGAGTGTAGTTAATTCGTGCAGAGACAGGAAGGGACCTCTTTGTTACTGATAAGCACTGTTTCCAGCTTAGTATGTGCCAAGCTAATCCAGGTTGAAGAAAAAGAGATGGTGTTCTTAGACATGAAGTTCATCATAAAAAACACTGAGGTGTTCCACTAAGATGCTTCACTTACTGAATTTGGTTGGATCTACTCACAGCAGAAATGTTAGGTTTGAAAACCAGCAGTAGATGGTGGGTATGAGCCCTGTTAGGGAAAGGCGTATGTCCAGGGGACAAGTTTGGTTGATTTGTTGAAACAGGCTGATTGGCTTTTTGCCAGTCATTTGAGATCATGTAGTATCTCAACTTCAAAAAATGCCTTTTCTTTCCCTAACTAGGAGGGTGTGCGTATGGAGGAAATTGTCGAGGGCTGCACTGGAGCCCTGCATATTCTTGCACGTGACGTTCATAATCGAATCGTAATCAGGGGTCTAAATACCATTCCACTATTTGTGCAGGTAAGTAGGAGCTCAAGACAATGCTATAGCATGTATTAGGAAAATAAGTAAAATGGTGTCCTGGATAGAACTGCTAAGTCAGAGTGTGCTGAAGAGCTCGTTTCAAGTAGAAGAGCTAAAGAACCCTGTGTGTTTTGGTTGCAGTTGTTGTACTCTCCCATCGAGAATATCCAGAGAGTAGCTGCTGGTGTACTTTGTGAACTGGCTCAAGACAAGGAAGCAGCCGAAGCAATTGAAGCTGAAGGTGCAACTGCCCCTTTAACAGAACTGCTTCATTCTAGGAATGAGGGTGTTGGTAAGTGAACTTAAAAGACAGGTTTCATACATGTGTTAGAAAAGTTGCTAGAAGTCTTGACCTCCGCTAAAATCGCTCGTCCTTTTGACAGCAACATATGCAGCTGCAGTGCTGTTCAGAATGTCTGAGGACAAACCACAGGACTATAAGAAGCGACTTTCGGTTGAATTGACAAGCTCTCTGTTCCGGACTGAGCCAATGGCTTGGAATGAGGTGAGTCATGTCTTCTGTGCTAATGGTTCCTTGGGGACACCTTAGTTCTATGTCCTCTCTTCTTCCAGTAGTGAAGTATAGATGCACTCAGTGATACAGGCCCAGCTTTATACACAGCTTTGTGACTGTACCTTCTTGACTCTCTACGAGTTCAGGTTCAGTGAACCTGTGGTAAGCAGCCTTCAAGCTGCTTCTTCACTTGCAGATAGGAAGCGTCCATTCTCTGCTGGTGCTAAAGTGTGCTAGTGTGCAAAGCTGTATACAAGAACTTTGTACTTTTCTGTGCTGCTTGTCAAAGTCTAACGAACTCTGGATGCAAAAATAGAAACATGAGTGATATGAGGGAAGCATAATATAAAACGTAACATGTGAGGCTTCTATCAAACCAACAATGTAGGATTAGTAATCTCGAAGGGGGGATTGCAACTTATGCTCTTAGAACTGAGTTTTCAGACTTGACTATGTTTGCAGGCTGATTATCACACATTGCTTTTCCTCGTTCTTAAAGGAACTACACAGTAAATTGAGACTGAAAACAAACTGTGTGCAAGGGGTAGAAGGGAAGGCTTCATTAGTTCTTTGTCTTCCTGCAGATTCTTTAGATTCAGAAGCCTAGCTTGTCTTATCTTGTATGTATCTACTACATAAGGGATAGTAACCTTTTGTATTGTTTCAGTGCTTATGTCTTTGTTTTCCTAAAATCTGTATCTACCACAGGAATTGGAGGGGGAGCTAAAATGGAATATGTCTTTGAGACTGGAGTTAAGCAGTTTCTCTGCAGACAGGCAGACAATTACTTCTGTAATTGAACAAATGGGAAAGGTTCCTTCAGAACTCTTAAAAGCTCTCTTGCTGACTTGGGAATATCCAAACAGCTGACTTGCTGGAGTTGGGCAGATGTACCTGAGGAGTGTTCCCAGACCTGCCCCATCTCTTTTCTTCCCAAAGAGAACCCTCCTTCCAGTGATCTGCGGATTCTTGTACCTAAATCTGGCTATTTCGTGTTGCTTATTATACCTATAGTAGTTGCAGATGCTTAGCTAAAAAGGCATTTCATGTTCGCAGCAGTGCTGCAGTGCTCACTGCAGAAGAGTTGCTCAGAGGGATCTTGGGATGAGTTTCACAGCTTTTTAAACTCAGAATTACTAGTGCTGGCTGAAAGACCTGATGCTAAAACTGTTTTGTCATTTTTTGTGTACATGTAGACAGCAGATCTTGGACTCGATATTGGTGCCCAGGGAGAACCTCTTGGATACCGCCCAGATGGTAGGTCTCTGCCGTTCCCCTTGACTAAACTTAAGTTGGATGAAGTCAAGTCATAGATTTTAAAGGAGAACTGCAAATGAGTGAAGAGTGAATTTACTCTTCAGCAAGGTATTGCAAACTGACAGGCAGATGGGGAACTGCCAGTTCAAATAACCAGTTCCTGCAACACCACTGGCAACACTGAAATGGGAGCTGTATGAACATGCAAAACTGGTGTCTCTTGTCTGAGTCCTGTGGGAACAGCTCCCGCTGAGCTGTTGTTTACAGAAATCTTTTACATTCTTTACAAATGGACTTGACAATTCCAATAGTGCAGTTTTTCTTTAAAACAACAAAGCTGTTATTGAATGCATTAGTCTGTAAGTGTCTATAGACTTGAACGCAAGCCTGTCCCTAAGGATTCTGAGCTATTTTTGACTAGTCTTTTAGAAGCAAGTCTAGTCTTGGAGCCTGGTTTTGCTGCAGTATTGTTGAATTTTAGTACTGTCGATTGTGCAGACTAATGGCTTGGCTGGAATCTGCTCGTGCTTCTGACTGCAGTGTGCTTTGTCTGCAGAATCAAACTGGAAGGCTGTTTCAAACAATGGAATAGCCATTAAGGGCAGGCAACAGATTGTGTTGAACTTGGCTGAACTAGAAAACAATTAGATGGCTACACGATCTCCTCACACACTGATACTTGCAGCTTCTGATGCATCTAACATCTGTTAACATTATGCTTTTTTTCCCTCTGCCACCTTTAACTTTCTTAGATCCTAGCTACCGTTCTTTCCACTCTGGCGGATACGGTCAGGATGCCTTGGGTATGGACCCTATGATGGAACATGAAATGGGTGGCCACCACCCTGGTGCTGACTACCCAGTTGATGGTCTGCCAGATCTTGGCCATGCCCAGGACCTTATGGATGGGCTGCCTCCAGGTGACAGTAATCAGTTGGCCTGGTTCGATACTGACCTGTAAATCATCCTTTAGGTAAGAAGCTCCAACCTTGAATTTAAAAGCAAAACAAAAAGAGAAAAACAGCTGACTGGACTGAGGACTTGGTTGGCAGGGAGGGATTGGCTCGATTGGGTCCCAGTGTGCCAGAATAATGAATAAATGCTCTGGAAACACTCGATCAGCACACTCCAAACTGACTTCTGCCGTGAAGTGTGGAAGTAATTAACTGTAATGTCTTGTGCACTGGCTTCATGCAGTCTTCACGTGTTAGAACAGCCCTTTACTACTCAGGAACACTGACACCTGTCTTTTTTCTCTTTGCAGCTGTATCATCTGAGTGAACTTGCATTGATTGGCCTGTAGAGTTGCTGAGAGGGCTCGAGGGGTGGGCTAGTATCTCAGAAAGTGCCTGACACACTAACCAAGCTGAGTTTCCTATGGGAACAATTGAAGTAAACTTTTTGTTCTGGTCCTTTTTGGTCGAGGAGTAATAATACAAATGGATTTTGGGAGTGATTCAAGAAACGAAGAATGCACAAGAATGAGTTGCAAGATGGAATTTATCAAACCCTAGCCTTGCTTGTTAAAAATTTATTATTTTTTTTAAATCTCTGTAATGGTACTGACCTTGCTTGCTTTGGAAGTAGCCTTTCCTTTTGCAGTAATTGTTGTTAGTTTTTTTTAAAGTCTCTCGTAGTATTAAGTTATAGTGAATATGCTACAGCAGTTTCTAATTTTTAAGGATTGAGTAAAGGTGTAGAACACTAATTCATAATCGCTCTAACTGTATTCTGAATAAAGTGTAACATTGTGTAGCCTTTTTGTATAAAAAACTAGACAAATAGAAATGGTCCAATTAGTTTCCTTTTTAATATGCTTAAAATAAGCAGGTGGATCTATTTCATGTTTTTGATCAAAAACTTTATCTGGGATATGTCTGGGTAGGGGCCAGTAAGAACTGTTTATTTGGAACCTTGTATTGGACAGTTTACCAGTTGCCTTTTATCCCAAAGTTATTGTAGCCTGCTGTGATACAGATGCTTCATGAGAAAAATGCAGTTATAAAATGGTTCAAAATTAAAGTAAACTTTTAATTCACTCTGTGTCAAATTATTTCACATCACAAAGTTTATTCATGTGTGTTAACAAGTCTCCTAAAAATCATCCTGGAATTACACAATCATTTAAGTACTTCAGAGGAGGGAGTCAAGAATCATTTCCTTTTTCATCCCACTATGAAATAGTTACCCTTTGGAGTTTGGAGGTTTCCTACTGCAGTCCTCTGAGGCAGTATTCTTCCCCTTGACTTGCTGCTGCTTTGCTTTGGCAGGTTCCTCAGCGTAGGGGAGGTCTAGCCTAGCAACTACACTTCGTGCCTGGCCTGCCAGCCCCACGCTCACTTCTGGGCTTCAGAAAGTGAGAACAGTGTCTTGCCTCAGTTCCCTTCAGCAGTGTGCTGTCACAGGGTCAGTGAGATAAAGATCCTTTGTTAGCAACCTGTCAGCTGGTTCTGGAGCTTAAACCCATTTTCAGGTGTCCTCAGTCTTCAGTTATTGTGCAAGATAAGACCTGTGTGTAACTGACTCCTCTGGAGGCAGCACCTGTGTGGCTGGGAGCGGGAAAGTGGTTCTGAAAGTGCCGACTAAGCCACAGAGTGCACATCTGCACCGTGCAGCTGTCACCAGCCTCGGCGGGAGCAAAGCTCCCAGTCACTTCCACCTCAGGCAGCAGTTTGCCGGCAGGAGATCAGAGAGGGCCTTGGCTGCAGAGGCTCGTGGCTCAGTGTGATGAGAGCTGAAGGGAAGCACATACCAGAGCACTCCCCCTCTCCCTTGCAGACCAAAGGCAGTGCAGCTGCAGAGGGGAAAGTCTCACCCAGTAACACACTTTGTTCCTCTCTGCCACACTCACGCTAGATGACCCTTACTGTAAAACACTGCACCAAATAACAGCCACCACTGAACTTTTCCCCATTCCTAGTAACTCCAGCTATTAAGCTATGAAAGATACGCAGTGATATTTGAAGTAATATGAGAAAATAATTCCTTTAAGACACACACAGTGATATCTGTTTACCCAGGGGTGTTTGCTTGCCTCCACATACTGTGGATAACTGGGCTGTCCAAGGGCAGGTGCTGTAGCAGCAACTGCCAATAGGCACCTGTGTTTGGTAGGTGCAGTGGGAACATGGAGCTGCTGCACTGACAGTAAGAAGTGGTCTTAACAGCACATGTGGAGAAGACATTAATTCTTTACATTCTGTGGTATCTGCAAGCTCTAAAGGACCATTCCTAGGGTCCCAACTTTTCATGGGGATATGCCAAACTGCCAGGGTCATCATCGCACCTATTGTCAAAGAAGAGCTCCAGCCAGGAGCATTGGCAGCTGAGAATGACACTCCACCAGTGCAGTTTAAGCTGTGCAGGAAACTAGGAAAGAGTGGGGCACACAGACAAAAAATTCCTGCTACTGGGTAAAAACCCAGTAACATGTATCATCCATACACAGCCTCTGTGTGATCACAGGGATTGGTTCTGGTTGCTTGAGGTGAAGAATATTGTCTGTCTTGATGAAAAGGTATTTTCTAGTGCCAGTCACGAGCACGATGGGACCCCTTAAGATGAACAGCCAGGGCAGTCACCTGGTCCAAAAGATAAATGAGCATTTCTAATAGCAGCTTAAAATAGTGAAACACTTTATATTGTGAAATAACTGTACTATTTATTTAATTTACACTTTCAAACTGTCAGATACTTGAGCTACGTAATGTAATGCCAACAAGGTAAAGTAGTAACCAAGAATTCATCCTTACAGGGGTTTAAGAAACAAACCACCCCCTAGAACCAGCTTCCCTCCCTTCCTGAAGCCTCCCAAATTCCTGCATATGCTGCAACTCAGCTTGCTAAATTACATCTGCTCAGCTCGTCTGAAGATGTTCCTGCAGGACTGAGATGCTGAGCAGCGCACACAACTGCACATTTCGGTGGGCCAGTTCACTTGGTAGTCTTGATATTTTCATGTCCCGCTGTTCTCAGAATTTCAAATGCCAAGGAAGCAACAGCAACATCAGCATGAGAGCTAGGAATTAAAAAGAGTAACATCTATTAGACATTCTCAGGGAAAAAGCGTATTGTTCAAATTCCACCTTTGCCTTTATGTATGTTAGAAAATCCTGAATAGCCATTAACTGCACTCTATGTCCACTTTTCTCTTAAGCAGTAACAGGTAACTTCTGATTCTGCCCTGACGCAAATCTTGTGTAGAAGTGAATTTCAGCTCAAATTCCCAGTCACTGCTACCTCACTCAACCTCCTCTGTTAAAACTCTGTAAAAAAAGAAGATACATGAATGTACACACATGCACATTCCCAGCTTGACAGAAAGATGTGTTTTCACACAAACAGCCCTCTTACTGCAGCGCTGCTCTGCACAGGTAGGCAGTTCCACTCCAGGTGTTGCCCACCTCCTGCAAGGAGGACGGACTGTCCCTCCACCCACAGCACTGCAGGCTTGAGATCAAATGGTGGGGCCCTTTGCTTCCTCACCTAAGGTTTTAGTATACGTATTTTGCCAAATTTTTCCTTCTGGAAACACCTTTTTTTCTTAGCATTGGAACCGAGGCTCTAACACAATACTGCTTGTCCACAGAAACATGTCTTTTTGGGTTTTTATAGATTCCCATCCCCCATCTTTAGCTTAGAAAGGACAGCAGCAGATCAGTCTGCAACTTCCCTGGTTGCTGCTAATGACAATACCTACTGATGCTACTCCACACTTTGGGGAATGCAGAGCTAGCCAGGAAATCCAAATGATCAGTTCACACTATGTAAGCCAATGCCTTAAGGAGCAGCAGTTTAAATCAGAAAATTCAGTTATCTGAAACAAATTCATCTTGGCAACTGTCTTCACTGAGAAATGGCTACAAGCCCACATTTTCAAGTGTAGATTTTATTCCAGGTGGTTACTAAGCAAAATGGGTTGGTTTTGTCACTCCTAAAACTACCTGTTGCAACTAGCTGACGATGCATCACAGAGATAGAGTTTGACAATCCATGGCTGCTACAGGGCAACAGGGGATCACCAAAAGCAGCTGCAATTCAAGCAGTGCCCTCCTCTTGGCATGTGACTTGGCTGGAATCTCCCTTCTGACACATAGGAAGAGTGAGAGATTACAAACCTGTCTGTAAGAAATGAGCAAAGCAAAACCACTCCTCAATCAATTCAACTCAGTGGTAATATGTGAGTGGAAGGGCCTGGGAGCTTAGACTACTCAGGATGGCTTACATCCAGGATCTTTGTTGTAGCCTTCTCTAAAACATTTCCAATTCTGCATGAGATACAGGGAGGCTCCTTAACCAGGTTCAAAGCACAGGTGAGGAGATCAAGTGTATTAGGTCACAAGGAAACATGGCAACATAAGGGAATCTGAAGAGAATGCAAAATATCCATACCCTCCATAAACAAATGGCCATTTAACTAAGTCTGATAAAGCTTGCTAACTCCAGGCTTCTCCTGCTTGTCTGTTGCCAATTTATCCATGTCTGAGTCCATTACAGCCCCAATGTCCAGGCTGTAATGGTCTTGGTCTCTTCTGGAGGCAAATGGATAGGGGCATGTGTTCCCTAAAGAAGGGGAGGAGGGGAAATGAAATCAGTGAATTCTCAGTGCAGGAGCTCAGCACAGCGGAGGAACTTGGCTCACTCTAATGTATCAAAACATTTCTCAATGGCATCAGCCAGAATTTCATCTACTGAGCATCTTGTGTTAAATAAGAGTGAGTGCTGTTTATTTGGACTCTGTAGCATGTGGGTTTCTGCATACAGAAATGTATAGACTGTAACAGACTATCGAGGAAGCTAGAAAAGCAGACTCAAAGACAGCAATGTGCACTAGACAGTCTAGTGCATCTAATGCTGGAATGCTACAAAACAGAATGAAAGCTGGTTCTAACAGAAGAACACCCATCTTCCTCCATTATCATCTTCAGTGGTGGTGCCTGTGTCTCCCTTGGGGTGAGCTGATGCTTTATTTCAGATAGATAATTTAATGTGTCATACAAAAACCTGTGAGTCAGCAGCTGAGTGTGTGAGAGGGATACTGACTGTTCTCAACAGATTTGGTTAGTCCTCAGTGTGCATCTCCTTACACTCAGCACATCCCGGTATTTCCTCTCCACATGTGCTCACGCCCCTCCTTCCTTCCAACACAGGGTACACACTGACACAGTGTCGAGGAGCCAATTTTCCCAAAAGCCTGCATTTGGGAGCACAAAGGGCACTGAGAGGATTATCTTAGTGCTTCAAAATCTGACTTACAAACTACAACTTCTCTATGAATTTTAGTCCAACCAGGAGCGCAGTGAAGCCTAACAGTCCATAGCAGAAGTGTAAAATTTGTTTTGAGGGGCAGAGAACAGTCATTCATTCATTCATATGTCCACAGGGGATTAGATGAGGCAAAGTCTATGGGAGATGAGCTAAGGTTTGGCCAGCTTGTTGGGACTAGCACCTCTGTTCATGCAGAGAAGGCCACGGCATTCCCCTAAGTCTTGTGCCTTCTCGGAGATGCCACAGGTATTCTTAAACAAAAACAGTTTTGTTCCTCAGCCGTAGGTTTTAAAGGAATCAGCTTGCAAGTGCACCAAACACAGTCACCTTAAAACAGGGCACAAACGTCGCACTGTGCATCCAGCCAAGAACCACTGACAGGTATCCGGTTGTAGAAACCAAGTGTTTGGAATAAAATAATAAATTTATAAAAACAAGCAAGCTGCAAAATCACCAAGGCACACCCACGGAGCTGGACTGGGCCGAACACTGCGGCTCAACCCAGCTGGGGATCAAAGGATCAAAGCATGCCATAAGTGCTGAATGAGAGCACTTTGGAGGAGAGAGTGCGGGGAGGGGGCAGGGACAGAAACCTGAGAAGCTCATAGTGCACAGAATTACAGGAGAAGACCATCGAAGACAAAAGAGGGGGGGAGCGCTCTCAGCCCTGGAAATTCCTGGAAGCCTGAGGGAACTCACCTGGCAGTTTGGGCCAGGCTCTCTAGAGTTTGGATAAGAGCATTGCCATCATTCTTCAGGCTCTCCAAGTGCTTCTTGTTTGAAGTTATCTGGAACAAAAAGAAAGAACTGTTATCAAAGGCTTAGCAAAAGATTCCTCTCTGTCATTTTTTGAGGGATAGGGGAGAGGGAAACAAGTTACAGCATTTATTACAATTGTAAATGGAATGTGACATTAAAGAGACCCAAGAAAAAAATCCCTTTTACTGAATAGGACTGAATGATAGGCAGAGACCAGCTAAGATATCTTGGTTGAACAATATTCAGCCATGTTCTGAGTCCCAGTATGTGTGCAAATTCACACATCGGTCTGCAAATCCTGATTTCATCCTTAGTATCAATGCAAATACAAGCCCCATTTTAGTCTGAATCCCAGGGAGATCTTCGGGAGGCAGTCATTTTCATTTCTCATTTCAGGGAAAAAATAACCAAGCTTCTACCAGAGTCCAGATCAGGATGTGTGGGGTTTCTCTGAGAGAAGCCAGGTTAAAATCACTGTGAAGTTAACAATTGTATATTGAAATTTTTCTTGCCATCTCATCCGTCAATACGAGTATTACCTGCACAGGACTGTCATCTACAGAGCAGGGGGCTGAGTGACCAAAGCTACGTGCCCTTTTTGCATCAAATGAATCCTGATTATAGCTGATTTTGCTTCTGGTGTGGTTTATTACACTAATCTGTAACGACTGGCTTATTGTTTCTCCAGCCTTAAGTAGCAGAACTACACAGCTCCAAACTGCCACACATTTCCTGACAGTTAAGCAGGTGAATGGGAAGGTCACAAGGGACACGACATGAAGCCACAAGCACCGTAGCTCAAATAGACACTAGTGACTTGGCAGCTTGCTGAAGAAGCTCTTGTATCTCAAAAAAATTACTGAAAGAAATGGTTTGCGTGTCAGCTCCTGCTTGCAAAGGTAAATAACTCTTGGCTGGAGACAAAGGAGAAGGGGAGGACCAGAGCAGCTGATTATTTTGATACTGGAGGAGCTAATGCTTGAAACGATGACTTCAAATCCCAAAATCTGGCAAGGACTTTTAAGTTTTAGCATGCTGCTTCTGGCCCTGTTTACCATTGATCAAGCATCTGGGCAATATGCCTTCACATCTCCCTCTTAAATCACAACAGAAGCTGTATTTACAGCTGCCATCCCACCATAATTTATCAGCAGTGATTCTGCAACAACAGTGTCACTACATCTATAATCATAACATCCTGTAGTTTAGCAGTTACAGGGAACAGGGAGCTGCCTGAAGTAAAGTAAAACATATCCTGTGTGTTGGAAAAAAAACAGTGATGCCATTACCTAAGCACAAATCATTGGTAAATCCTGATTACAGGTTATTAAACCTTTTTACTGTCTTGAGGTTTATATCTGACTCTCTCAGTTTATATTTCAGTAATCCACTCTTCTGTATTTATTACCTGTTAGACACAGAAAACGTTTTGTTATCTGGGTTCTGAATGTGAGAACACCACCACGCATAATAGGAGCAATACAAGGAGAAAAATGCTTTCACCACAAGAAATTGCTTTCTGTTCCTAAAGAGTGCTCATGCCTCTACCAAACATTTCCCTACAATTTCTGCAGCTCAGCAGCCACTGCCACATTCTCTGCACTTGCCACATTTGTGCCACTTGTTTATCCTGCACACTTAAAAAAGCCACAGGTCATGGGAGAAGGAAAGTCACTGGGACTGAATCATGCTCCATAAAACCACACGGTCAACAAAGGTTACAGTTATCTCTCTTTCTACTACATCCTAATTCTTGGGTGCTGACATCTGTACAACCCTCATAGTCTCTTCACAAAATAGCCAATGGCATCATACACAGAACATTCAAAATATACTCAACTATAAAATCTGGTAAAAAGAAGAAGGCTTAATTCTGAAATGATCTATTTCCAAAAATAACTTAGTCCAACTCAGTCATAGGGTCTGACTATAACCTTGCCCATGTAGCAGCATGCCTCATGTCACTATTAAGAAAACATTTCTGTGCATACAATGCACTCGAATGGAAAGGATTAAAATGGCTTTGTATGCACAAAAATTGTAACAGATAGAAACAGAAATATCCATGAGATCATCTACCCCATCTCTCTGTTAGACTTCACTGTTCAGAAAAGCTTTCAGCCACAAGCAATGGGCTTCTGCAGTACCTACCCGTAGGGGCTACTCCCTTCTGACAAAATGCTTCAGTAAGATCCTTTCAGCAGTAAAAGTGGTAGCACAAGGAGGGAAAAGATCAGCACAAGCTGCCTGCAGGTTAAAATCACTTAAATTAAGTCTAAACCAAATTTAGAACGCATTTTCTTGAGAGCATCAACTAACAGCTTCACACGAGCCAAGGGGTGTTGGTAAAGAACTGGCCTGCCAGTCAGCAGTGCCACTTATACCCACAGAGAACTTGCACAGACAAAACAGGGCTGCACAGGTTTACGCGGGCAGCTGGGGTTTTCCATCTGCTCTCCATCACCAGTGCCCAGAAAACTGCTTCCTATCCACCACCAGGCATCCACTCCGTGGGCCTGGGAGAGGACCAGCTCTGTGGTAGCAGGAAAACTACAGGTTGAATAGAGGGTGAGCTGCCAGCAGCCATCTCAACCACAGCTGCCTGTGGTTTTGTCATTACTCCCATGCTGTTTCTGCTCTGACCGCTGGCATTTATTTGCCCTTTATCTCCGAGTGGTAGATCTGATTGCTCCTGAGCAATCGGAAGGTCTCTTGCATACGACAGATTACATCCTGCTTCACATGAGCTTATGAGAAATATTGTCTGAATCACTGTTCACCTTTAAGATGAAACTTTACCCATGTTTCTTATTTAAAAAGTGTTCCATTTTTATCTTAATTTTATTCCATAGATTATAATAAGCAATGACGGGACATAAAACCGTCATTCACCAAAATTTGAGAAATTAATGTATTTTTTACTTTGTTATCTTTTTCTTCTACCCAGCATTGCTGTGCCTTTTATCCACACCAGTCTTGTTCTCATTAATTTGGAATTTTAACAACTAGTTTAATGATCTCTTGTAATATTGCTGTTTGTTAGGACTGGCTACAACGCAGATTCAATGACATAATCAATAGCTATTCCTTTAATTAAAAATGTAATTAAATCTCAGTTTAGTTGCACACTCACTGCAATTTAACAAGAATGTCAAAATTACTCTTCTTTATTAAGACCACAACCATTCAGCAGTTTTCCTCTCTTCAGTCCTATTAAACAAGGATGAGCCGTAAGAAATACAAGAAATAGTTGATATGTAAACTTCAGTGTTTCCTAAAATTTAGAAAAACTGTTCAGCTATTATGGTGCTGCTAAAGATGAGTGCAGGAAATGAAACAATACAAAACATCAGCTGGAATATTGACTTCACTAATAAACTGAGGAGTTTTGCATTCTTGCGCTAAGAAGGGATTTTTGTAATTCAAATTTCAAGAAAGCATAGAAATTTAGGGGACAATTATTTTTCTTAAGGTTGGTTTCATAATACTGAACTGCTTTCTCTGATTAGTCATAACTCACGCTTTGTAATTTACAACTCAGATAAATGACCTAAGCAGTAAACTACTTTCTCACCATTCTGAAGAGAAAGAAATGCTCCTTCTCTATTGAGGTTTCAAGTAACCCAAAAGCTTGATGTCTGTGATGTAAAAAGAAGGAGTTTTTTATTTGAAACTTCTTGGTTGAGGAAAGGTTTTTGGGAGCATATGTAGCTGCACCTTCAAGTGTTATCTTCTCAAATAAACAACTGCTGAGATGTTTACCATTTGCATGCTCAACAGATGCTTTTCTACAAGCCACCACCGTGTCTGTATATACAGACACAAGCAAGACATCTCAAAATGCTCTTTCTCAGAAATTGTTTTTTTCTCTTTCCCAAACACATCTATTTTAATCTCATAAAGTGACGCTTCCTTGCTTTTTCATAAATATTTAATACAATCAAGCTAATTACATTTGCAGGTACTCAGTTCTTGCTCAACTTTACTGACACTGGCTGAGAGCACAGGTAACACAGAAGCTGCCATGGTTTATCAGAACCACCAGATGCTTGTAGGTCCAATGTTGGCATCTCTTAAATATTGACACATGCTGTTAATAAAGTATCACTTAACACCTGTTGGAGGCTTTTCTGTGAATGGAAATTGTATCTTTAGCTAATACTACAGTAAAACCAATCAGCAGTTTATTTTTTCTGTGGACTAACTGGGACCCTATGTAAGATATGAAACATAATTTTAAAAACTAAGTTTTCAGACTAAAAAAATTAAAGAATTAAGCACACTCTTGTTGCCCTCTAGACACTATTTCAAAGAATGTCTTCATAGTAAGTGCTGTTCCTGCAATTTTAAATATGCATCTCAGACTTCTCATTCCTACTTCCATCTTTGACTGGCTGAAGGCACTGTCAGTAGGAGAGCCTTTCATCCCCAACCAAAGCTGCTGTTTCAAATGTCATCTAGGCTGGTGGTGACTGAAAGTTGATGGCTATTCACAGCTGCTTAGTGTGACCTTATTCCCATTTTTTAAGGAACAAATGTCACAAAATATAGTGGTGTCAAAAATATTGCTATAGCTGATGTGACAGCCCAGCAAATAAGTCAATGGGATGGTAACTTCAGAAATGAGGCACAATGCCTGGGTTCGAAGAGAAAACCTTCTAGTGTTGTGACCCATCTTATGTCTATCCCAGGGCATTTAATGGTACTTTTCCTCCCAGGCTGTCAGTGCTGAGCTATTCACAAGCATTGCAGTAATCAAATAAATCATGTCACTTGGTCTGTCACTCACAACTCATGATGACATGGCCAGAAATATGCAGCCATTCCTTCTCAGTGGAAGAGCACAATAACCAAGCAAATACTGCAAAGAGAGTCACTCAGATGAACTAAAACTAACAGATCCATTGGCTGTGGACTTACTGAATATAAGCATTTATTTCATTATAGATTGCTCTCCAAACATATACAGTAAGCTAGCAGTGCCTGGAGGAAGTATAACAAATGAACTCCTCACTTCCCATGACGGATC